GCGTATCTGCAGGTGCCGCCAAGCGCTTCAGCGACAAGATCCCGATGCTGCTCCAAGCGCGCTTCTTAGCGCCGTTCATGACCGAGCTCCGACGTCGACTGGCGACGACAGAGGCCACCGATGCGGTCCTCGAGCGGCTTTTGCGCGACGGAAATGCCTCTGCCCGCGCCGAGCTCTCAGCCAAACTGCTCGCGCTCCAGCAGGCCAAGGCCGAGATGCACGCTGCCGTCTGAGATGGATTGAATTGCCCAGACGACGAGTCGTAATACACTCGCTTTGCATAAATAGAGACTTCCTTGCAGGCACGCTTTCGGAACGACAGTCTTCGAGTGTCGTGACTCCTCCCGGTTGACGCCTCGAACGTCTGTGGCGATGACGTAGCCAGCGAGGACGAGCTCTTGCAGGTTGGTCACGTCAAACAACGAGCGGATGCGCGATCTCGACGGGCAACCCGCGGCTGGGATTCCACGACTCCCAAACCTTCATGAGCCGTCGGAGCACAGTGCGTTGAGGCCAAGCCGCTCAAGAGCCTCCCGGAGCATGGCCACAACTATTATACCATCGGTTTGATATCTTGCGTCAAGAGCTGCGCCGCGAGGTCGACGTTGCCCACTGCGTTGGTCTTGCGGCAAAGGTGCAGCCCAGACGGCAGCGTGCTGGACGAGACTTTCCACAAGCCTGTCTTGACCGACTTGGTTGTGAGCTCGGTGGAAAATGTAGAACTGGATTAGCCCAAGCTAAGCTAGTTTTAACTTTAACTACGAGCTCCAACCAAACGCTTGACGATGCTTGATTTGCACTTGATTTCGGCTTGATTTTGGTTGTTCTTGAAGATGCAAATATGAGCAATCACGACAAAGCCATCAAGGCGAGACGCCAGCATGCACAGCCGTCTCGCCTCCAACGCTTTCAGAGCCATCGAAATGCCAGCTCCCAGCAGTTATGGCATCCAACGACGGCGAGAGCACGCGATCGTCAAGGTCGGTCAACGGCGCGAATGGATTTGCGTTATCCGGATATCCGGATCCGCGGCCAGTTTTGCAGGAACCTTATTTGCGATGCCAAGTGCAACGAAGCGGGCCGGCGAGGTAGTGCGAGCGACTGCCGGTCGGGTGCTGACGCTGCGACCGACGTAGGCTGCAATGGCGACGGACGCGAAGCGCGTCAAGGTCGACGCGCCGGCCGTCGACGCCAAGCCAGCCGTGGACGGGTCGCCGTATGCCGAGTACGCGCTGAGCGAGCACGCGCCGCCACAGCTCGTGACGCTCGTGCAGCTCTTTGCGTCGCTCGAGTTTAGCATCACGACGCTCAATTTGTACAAGCGTACGCCGAGCTTCTCGGCGCTGCGCCGCGCGATCGAGTCGTCGGCCAAATGGTACAGTGCGCCTCGATCCCGTCCACCCGACGCGTATATCGTATAGCACTTTTTCCGAGCACGAGCTTGCGCAGCTCTTGACGCTGCTTCCGGACGCCTATGATCTGACGTTTTCCAAGGCGCCCGACAACCACAAGGTGCCGTTAGAGCTCTGCGTGAGCGTGCCCGAAGCCATGGCCAGCCTCTCGTTCCGCGAGCGCATGGAAGCGTTCTGCAGCGCGGTCAACGACCGCATCGCGCTGGCGCTCACGAATGGCACGACCGACTTGACGACGATCGAGATCCCGCCCGTAGATGCTTTCTACACTGTCACTGGAGACCATCGCTGGCTGTGTAGGCCGCCTTACCACGCCTTGAAGACGCGCTTGGCCCGACGCCGTTGGACCAGCTGCGCGCGCAGGAAGAGCGCCACGCGAGCGAGCTCACGCCGCTGCAGCAAGCCGCCGTGCTGGCCAAGCCGATCCCAAAGGAGCTCCAAGGCCTCCCTCTCTGGCTCGTCAACAAGGTGCATCGGATGTTTCGAACGCGATCTGATATTTTTGTGACATACCTCGTAGGTGCGCCTGGCCGAGCACCGCAAGGCGCATCTGGTCGAGAAGGCGGACGTCGCGGGCTCCGAGCGGCTCGTGCAGACGCTGCCGCAGCTCGCGGACCAGCTCCAGTCGTACTCCAAGTGCGTCAACAAGAGCGCGATCCTGCTGCCAACGCTGCTCGCAGAGCTAACGCGTGCACCGATTCCTGGTACCTTGGACTACGCTCTGAGTGCGGATGCGACTCAGTACTGCGTATTAGAACGCCTCCAGGAGCATGTCGAGCTACTGGCCAAGAAGGTGCCGTTCTGGGTCACACTCGTGCCGCACGAGAAGACTTTTGTGGTCCGGCTCAACTGGAAACAGGACTTTCGCGCGGTGAAGAAGATTCTCTCGACGCCGTCGAACTAAGACCAAGAACTCGATACATTGATATTCACGTCCTTCACTCGCCGCCCGTCGCTGTATTGTCAGACTTGAAGTCGCAACGTTCAATACAATCTGAGAGACTGGGACATTGCGTGCACGCTACGCGTCCATGGAGGCAGTGCCATGACATGAAGCGCAGCTGTCGAATGTTGCAACACTGAGTCGGCGCATGCCATCGCGCTCCGCCTGCTCACAGCATCACGCGCTCGATACACGACTCGTACCTTACGAAGCCACTGCGTGTCTACCGTCTACAACGCCTTAGGTAACACACGCAACGCGGTCCCCAAAGCTCATCTTTGCAAGAGACAATAACAGAGTCCACTGGATTGTCGACACCAATGTATCGTCAGTGCTCAGGTTATATCTTACACGTGGAGGTCGGTCGAGAGGTCGTTCTCGAGGAGCTCAATCTGCCCGTGCTGGACGCGCCGGCTGAGCTTCAACTGCCACACGCCAGCGATGATGGCGCAAACAAACGAAAGCGGGAGGCAGGTCGCAATCACCCACACGGGACGGACGCGGTAGTTGTACGCCCACATGACGGCCGTGAGCGGGTACTGGAAGAAGCAGTTGAGGTTGAGCACAACAAGCACACCAAGGATCGACGAGATTGGGACGACGACTGCGTGGCTGTGCGCCTTGCTGTTGAACGCAATCGGGAGCGACGGGAACCACGACTGGATCGTCGCGTGGCTGCCTTCGCGCCGGGAGAGCACCAGCAGCAGCATGTAGAAGCGCATCGGGTGCGTCGCGATGGCCGAGAGCGTAAAGCAGCCGTTGAGGATCTGCGAACACACCTCGATGATCACGTCCTTGGTGTGCGCCGAGACGCCGAGGCCCATGAAGGCGAGGACGAGGACCGCGCCCGAGACGACGATGACGAGCAGCAGGAGGCCAATGACGATGTACTGCGCCTTCTCGCACGCGGAGGCTTGGTGCCATGTCTCGGCTACCGTCGTCCACGCCTGCTTGAGGAGCTCCTTGAGGTCCATGCTCGGATGTAACTCGGCAACTGGCAGGCTGGCTGCTTGGTGCTGAAACAGCCACGTGGGAATGTAGGTATTCCGCCTCTCTGCGATGCCCGAGCCTGAAATTCCGCAAATTTCGCGTTGGACACAGCGCTGATCCGTGCAAACGACACCGAGTTCCGAGACAATTTATCGTCAAAGCAAGGACATTCACGGTAAGAGGGAGGGACGTCCATCGTTCATCGACGTCGAGGCGAACGCACCTGACGGCAAGAAGGCGCAGACCGTTGCGACGCCTTAGAATTCCGAAAGCACCGTGGGCATCCAGCGGTTGGGTGGATGGTTGGGAGGTTAGGAGGTGGGCATCGACTCTGCGAGAATACTATTACTTTGGCATCGCCGCCAGGTATGACTGATTTCCACAATCGAGCAAAACTCCAGTGACTGTCGATAGTTCAACCCCGAGGCGTCAGCACTCCCTGTCTTGACTAACGCTCTTCTTGTGCTTGGATTGTAGTTCGATCGCCGGGATCAACGTGGCACGCTCTCGATACGAACCACAACGTTTCCATCTCGCCCAGGATGTGAAGAAAGTCCAAATGCAAACACCCAGAACTTAGCGTCCACTCTCTCGTTACTTCTGCAGCAAACGACTATCCTACGTTGTCAAAATGAGTTGCAAGATCGTGCTTTGTTGCGCTGCGTTGTTATCACGACCATCGAGCGTACTAGTATCATGAGCTCGCCATCAAGTATCTCATGCTTCGTCGTCGACGCACCAACGCCGCCAACGTTCACAACGCCAGCGTCGACACTTGACGGTTCCAAAACGACCTCCCCATACAGTAATACCTACCAGTACACGGGGTCGGCATTTGTCCAGCGCAGCCCTCCCACCCTCGAGCTTGAGGCCCTTGCCGTCTCTCGTCCACGAGCAACGTGATCCGAACGCGCTGGCCCGTCTACGACCATCATTCCGATATGTCGAATGCTGGTCGTTGCCCGGCGGTCAGTGGCATTTTCGGCGAACGTGCGCTGGCCTTATCTGGCCTTTCTGCCGACGTTGGCAAAGTGCAATATGGCTCCCAAGACGACGAGCAAGACGAGCCGCAAGAAGAACGTGACGTCCGAGCTCCTCGATGGCTCGGCGGCGGCGACGCTCATTTCGGCCACGTCGCAGACCGACCGCTTCTTCCTCCAGACGGTCGACGACCAGAACCTCAACATCCACCTCGTCCAAGTCAACCTTGGCATTGGCAAGCGCGAGCTCCTCGTCGACGCCACACTCAAGCTCGAGACGGGCGTTCACTATGGCCTCGTTGGTCGCAACGGAACGGGCAAGTCGACCTTGCTGCAGGCGCTCGGCGACGGCCTCTTTGAAGGCATCTCGTCCAGCCTCCAGGTCATGTATGTCAACCAGCTCTTCCACCTCGACCTCGCCGACGGCGACGCCGTGGTCTCGGTCCTCGACGTGCTCATGGCTGCGGACAAGGAGCGGCTCCACCGCCAGCGCCGCATCGACACGCTCGAGGCCGCGCTTGACGCGCAGACCGTCCACCGCACGCTGGTCGAGCTCCGCTGCCTCGACACGGAGTTTGCTCTCGCCAAGATGCTTCGCGTCGCGACCAAGCGCAGCGGCCTCCGCGGCTTGACAGCGCGCAATAAGGCCCTCGCCCTCGAAGGCGACCTCGCCCGCGTCCGCGCCGAGCTGGCCGACATGGCCGAGGTCGACGACACGGAAGAGGACATTCTTCGCGCGCAGGAGCTCCTCGACGAGCTCTACAGCGACCTCGACCGGTCGTCGGAGGCCAAGGCCCGGGAAATCCTCTGCAACATTGGTACGTTCCAGCCTCTCTAGTACGTGGATGTGATACGAGCTCTTATGGCGTAGGCTTGACGACGCCGACGGAGCAGGACCAGCCATTCGCACAGCTTTCGGGCGGCTGGAAGATGCGCGTCTTCCTCGCGCAGATTGAGTTTCTGCGGCCGCATCTGCTCTTGCTCGACGAGCCCACGAACCATTTGGACTTGCCTCGCATCCAGTGGCTCGGCCGCTTCATCAACGAGCACCTTGGAGACATGACGATCGTGACGGTCTCGCACGATCGCGCGTTTCTCAATGCCGTCACGGACGCCATCGTCGTCATCAAGACCAACAAGACGCTCGGGTAAGGACCGAAGACGTGGACAATATCATGTCTTATGAGCGACTAGGTATTTCCAAGGCGATTACGACACGTTCATGACGACCGTCCAAGACAAGGATGCGTTCAATGCCAAGTTGAACGAGAAAATGCAGGCCAAGACCGAGAAGCTCCAGAACCAAGTGGCCCAAATGACGCTCGCTGGGAAAAAGTCGGGTGATGACAAGCGCCTTGCGGCTGCCGCCTCGCGCAAGAAGAAGATTGAGCGCGTTGGCAATGAGAAGAATGCAAAAGGCCACCGCTTCCGCATGAACAAGGACCGCGCCGGGTACTTTGAGACCAGCCGCGCGGGCGCCGAGGACCAGCTCATTGATCTGCATGAGCCCGAGCATTGGGTCATCTCGCAGCCGCTCGGCGTGCCGTCGACCACGTCGCTCTTGTCGGTCGAGAAGCTCTGCTTTGGGTACACGCCGTCGACGCCGATGCTCAAGAACATCTCGTTCAACGTCCACCATGGCGAGCGCATCGTCTTGCTCGGCTGCAACGGCACGGGTAAGAGTACGCTCATCCAGCTCTTGCAAGGCCGGCTACAGCCCACGTCCGGTACCATCACGCTCGCGCCACTTGTCCGGCTCGGGGCGCTCACCCAAGATGTGGTCGAGACGCTCAAAGACGAATCAAAGACGCCGCTGCAGCTGCTCTCGCCCGAGACGGAGGACCTGGGCCGGCGGCACTTGGCCAAATTCGGTCTCCGCGGCGCGTTTGTGAGCGATGCGCCGTGCGAGACTCTCTCGGGTGGCCAAGCCATTCGCCTTGCGATGGGTCTCATCACGTATCCGACGAGCCCGCAGCTGCTGATCCTCGATGAACCGACGAACCATTTGGACATGAGCAGCATCGCGGCGCTCACGGACGCGATCAAGAGCTTCACCGGCGCGATCGTCGTCATCTCGCACGACGAAGCGTTCCTTCGCGCGGTCGCACCCGACACGGTGCTCTGGCTCACCAAGCGCGGCGAGGTCAAGCCACTTGACGACGTCGAGGACTTTGTTAAAAAGTACCGCGAGTAGTCGCTCTAGTTGATTCTAGGTGAAGAGAGCCTCCAGCTGTGTTGTGGGCTTTCCTCGCTGGTACCAGGATCGATCCCGCCTTTTGCCGCCGTGTAGTTATATAGTCTTCGAGTAGCAGGACTTTTAGATACAAGAATGCTACTCTCGTGACGAGCAGATCGCGTAGCTCTCTGATCGCTAAAACTACGTGGGTTGTCCGAAGGTTGCGTCAATGGGATCATCGAAAGAAGGTGATTGCCCTCAAAGGACATCTTTGAGAGGACGAGTACAGCTCTGCAAACGCTTCCAACTAACTAGGAGTCATGCTTGCTCGTCTAGCAATGGTTAGTCCTACGTTCTAGTATAATAGGTTGAGCGTGCCATCAGCATGGCTTCGGCCACCGTCGCCGATTTCGCGAACATTTTTTAATGATGCAAATAAAATAAATAAAAAGACGCCCCAGAAAGGCCAAATTGAAATTGACATTGCACATGGCAATGAAGGTCCTCCGCGTCAAGCATGCCGAGCGCGTCCTGTCGCTGCCGCTGGGCGCCGACGGGTCGTCCGTCGCAGAGCTCAAGAAACAGCTCGAGGCGCTGACGCACGCGCCCGTGGACCAGCAGCGGCTCATTGTCAAGGGCAAGGTGCTCGCCGACGACGCCGTTGTGGCCGACGACGGGCGCACCGCCGTGCTGCTAGTGCGGCCGTCCGCCGACGCGATCGCGGCCATGAACGAACAAGAGGCTGCGCTCAAGAAGCTCGAGGAGACGCGGTACGGTCGCCATCGACACTGCATAGGGGCTCACGCTTGCGTAGCGCCTCGCGGCCGATTGTGAGTATTCAAGCCAAGAACGAGGTCCTGAGCGCACGCGCCCACGCCGCACGCGCGTACCGCTTCCACGAGATCCAAGTACGACGCTTCGAGATGCCTTCGTTGGTATTCACACGCTTGTAGACGCTGCCGGGATTGCCGGACGAGGCCAGGGCGACAGCGATCCTCACGTCGCTGGCGCAGGACAAGGGCATTCTGCACGTCATGGCCAAGCACAAGTAGGCCATCTACGTCTCCTCGTACTGATGGCGCGCGGTAGATGGAGCGTCGGTGCGCTGGCCGAGATGTATCCGGACGGCAAGGTCGGCGTCGACCCTGTCTGCGTCTTGGGCCTCAACGAGAACAAGGGCCAGCGCATTCTCTTGCGGCTGCGCACTGACGATCTCCAAGGCTTCCGCAAGTACCTCACGTACGACACTTCAGTCGCTGGATATCGAGGCTGACCATCCACGGGGTAGCATCAAGAAGGTGTTGTACCATGAGCTCACCCACAATGTACGCAGTCATCGTCACGACACCAAGATCTTAGACAAGATGACTAGGATGTGAGCGACCACAACAATGAGTTTTATCAACTCATGCGCCAAGTCGAAGCTGAGTGCAACACCGTTCCAGGGACTACAACGTCCCTGGACGCGCCGACCACGTCACCGACAGTCGCTGCACGAGGCCACGTGCTGGGCGGCTCAATACCTGTCGCAATCGAACCGCGGTACGAGCTGCCCTCTTCTTGTGATAGCTAACCAAAGGCGTTGCATCATAGGCAGCTGCGAGTAGAGCGTGCGCTCGAGCGATTCACTGCGCTTCAGTCGACGCCCATCGAGGCAGCACACCACGTGACCTCCCCACTTTCACCAGCCCCTGCCTCGGTATCAACACCGGCACTTGTTTCGACACCAGCACCCGCCTCGGCACCAGCACCTGTCTCGGTGCCCGCGCCACCGACGCCATTGACTCGTCCATGGGATCTACCTACCATTGAGCTCGACACGGCGCTGCTGGAAAGCTTGGGCGAGCGTGAGCAACGCGTTGTATCGGCGGCCGTCGCCCTCCGCGCGCGCCTTGTTCATGAGCCGCGTTCGCAGCAGTCGAACGTGCTCCGGTCCCTTCACGCTGTGCTATCCAACATTTTGCAAGCGCCGACGAACCAATTGTACCGGCGGCTGCGCAAGACGAACGCGCGGATTGCCAATTACATCATCGGCGTTCCGCCAGCGCTGGAGCTGCTCCACCACATTGGGTTTGTCGACGAGCTCCCAGGTAGAACGAATCTCAACACGATGCGACGGTCGCTCACGCATCGATAGAGCACTTGGTCCTCCAACGCGACGACCCAGGTCTTATTTGGCTCGGCAAATCGCTTTTGGACCCGCTCGTCGAGTCGATTCATTAAGTGATTCAACGTCATATTTCGAAGCTCTTACTTCTGTCTCGCCACCCGTCCTGCATGGAGCTCAGAGCTGAACATGTTGCATCCACGACCATCTATCTATCTATCTATCTATCTATCTATCTATCTATCTATCTATCGGCGCCGTGCGATCTAGCTCGCGCTTGAAACTGTATTTGCAACGATATCTAAACGCATGGACGATTCGCTCCCCGTGGCGCTCGTCGAGCGTCTCTGGGCCTTTGCTGCGACGTGTACACTCTGTCGATAGCGAGAGACAGAAGTGTACAATATGTCTACATTATAGACAACTTTGAGACGTCGTTCCAGAGCTTTGCTGCTCAGTACTACAGCGTTTTCTCGACCTCTGTCACGCGCTCATGAGGTGGGCGTAGGCACGCGATGACTTTTTCCACGTTTGACGAGGACGACGAGCAGCCGCTTGAGTGCTTTGAGCTCTTTCAGGTACAACGAGTGCTCAAGACACCAACACCATGTAGCGTGCGTAGACGTATGAGCGCATGCACGAAGCCATGATAGCTGCGTTCCTCAACGTCGAGCAGGTAGACTGTTCAAGTTGAAGTTGTTGATCAAACTGCGCAGATGACACCTCGAGAGCTCTACGACATCCTGTCGAGCGTCCAAGGGACGATGCGCGATTCGGACGCGTACGAGAGCCTCTCGATGCTGCTGTCGGCGCTGGATTTCGCGTGCTTCGGCCGGCGCATGCGCGACGAAGCCATCGACCAGCAGCGCGCGGCCAAGGATGCCGACGACATGGGCTTCTAATGCAATCTTGGGTGCTCTTTCTTAAGTGTGGGTGCGTCTCTTGCATCGAAATAGAGCGTCTCGAACCAAGGTGCACCCGATCGGGTGCTGAAAAGAGGCGTGGTGTGCTTGCTCTGCAGCTGACTGACGTCCATCGCAGTCAATCGGCAATCGGCAAGCTAGTAGTTCAAAAAGGAGCTCGGACAACGCTTATTAGTATTAGTGATCTCTGGGAATGAAGCATCATCTCGATCATCTCGGCGATGCTGAGAATCTTGCGACTGGTTGTCTTCATGTGCCGACGTTGACCACGGGCCAGTTCGAGTTGTAGGCGGCGACCGACGGCTCCGCACGTGCGGTCGCCTCGCTACTATCTGGTGGCACTTGGCCGACCCGCAGGTCACGAACCTCACGCTGCAGCTGGTCGATCTTGGAGTTGAACGAGGCAAACTGCGAGGACATCTCGCGCAGTAGCATCGCAATGTTGTCCGTCTTGCACTCGTGCATAGGCACGGTCGAGTGGAACTTGCTGCGAATCTTGTGGGACGCTTCCGTCAAGAACTCGAGTGTGCATCTGGACTCCTGGATAGCACGATTAATCTGGATGTTCAACACCGACTTTGGGTTGAGCGCGTGCAGCATGGGGAGGTGCATGAGGAGCGTCGCAAACAGCGAGTTGCAGACCGCGTCCGACACGTTGCACTTGTCAGCGTCACCCTTGAAGCTACGTGCGTTCGAGAAGGCAAGCTCTTGAAACACGAGCAGGCGTGCCTGGCCCTCTTTGCTGTACGACGCCTTGAGCACATCCAGCGACGGAGGCGTCACGACGTCGTCCAGGTCCCAGCCAGCGAGGCGTCGAGCAATCTCCTGGTCGTCTTGCAAAGTCGTCCCTAGCAACAATCAGATAAGGCACACGTTGCATAGACATCTACACACCGATATACGCAAACGCCTTGCTTAGAGCATCAAGAGACCAATGGTCTCGAGTGCTGATTCCTTCTATCTCCGGCGACGAGCTCGCGCACTGGGCGCCTCCTCGACGGACCGAGTCGGACTGTAGCCCCGGCGTGAGACCCACAGACCCAAGCCCAATGGCAACACCTGCATTTGTAGCTAGTAAAAGCAGTATGTCGATATTTCGTACCCGATTCCTTGTACTCGGCCTCCAGCTCCTTGAGCTCATGGTTGAGGAGCTGCACAACCGACGGACGCTTGCGAGCTGCCATGTCGGGCGTGTCATCAAGATCGTCGGCGACGCCGAACAGCGAAGCCTCGAGCTGCGAAATCGCGCCGACTTCGCGAGGTGGCTAAGTGTTCCTACGGTTTAACGCGCGCTCAATACAACGCAGTGTACAGTACCTGGTGGACGACAGCCTGCGACGTGGCGAGCGCGATGCACCATGCGCTGGGACCAGACGTCACGAGCAAGACGGCAAAGGCCAAGAACGGGCAGAGGAACGGCTCGTTCTTGTGTGGGTACAGCGACACCCCTTGTAGCGACGACGTCGTGAGTCGCGCCAAGTTGACAAATATGGCGCCGTCGCTCATGACGCACAGCTACACGTGTGAAAGCGGAATGAAGAAATAGATACATCATTGAAAACGTCAACCTGGTTGCGTGTCAGCCGGGCCGAATCAACAACACGACCCAAGAGATGCCAGAGAATGGACAAGGTACACGCTACGTGGATGGACTTCGTGTCGCCTATACCATCAAGTCAATATCAAGTGACCCATGCAGAGGATACATTCCTTTGCGATAAAGCATGCCACCGAGGATCGTCATGTCGTTGACAGTCATTGCCGGCGCCTGGTGCGAGACGATCTTCAACTGCGTCGCGCGCTCCGTGAAGCAGCGCGTCAACTGATTGCGAATGGACGTGCAGCGCTCGGCGCTTAGGTCCGTAGCCGCAAAGCGGTGCTTGATGTTCTTTTCGATCTACGTAGCCATTGTCAATTGCTCAATCCAATGCTTCAAAGTGTGCACCTGGGAAAGATAGTTGTCGGCCGTTCCTTGCGACAGCACGTTCTCGCTGTTCTTCGAGCGCGGGCTCGAGCGGTTGAAGAGGAAGAGGACCCAGTGCTCGAGGACCTTGTAGATGCAGAGCTCCGGCAACTCAGAACCCGTGCCTTGGGCCAGCTTCGTGGCCCTCCAGATCTCGCCAATCCGGGGCCACGATAAGTTGCTAGCATCTTGAAACTGGGAGAAGAGCGCGAGCGCAGATGCCTCTGGACCTAAGAAGTCAGTGACGTTAGCCATGCCTAATGATAAAACATATTCCACGTACGTCTGCTGCGTGAGGAGTGATCTGCACTCGCCCGGGCACTTTGATCACTTTCACCAACGGCTTCTTCTCGGCCGCGACTGCCGCCAAGGACGTCTTCTTGGCGCGCACCTTGGCCACCGACTTCTCCGCGGGCGTCGTGTCTTCAGGTGGATCGAAGGCAATGGCCGCCTTGCCATGGGTCTTGGTGCGGGCCATGCAACCGAATTCTGTTTCTGTTTCGGAAACACTGCATCGGTTGGCCATCTCTGGTGAGACAGTATCCGGATAAGGTGTGCTATTAAAATGCATATTCTGGTATTATGTACAGTAGTCGCCTCGTCGCAAGAAGGACAGGCCGGGCCCTTGATTAGCGCCAGAGAGAGCTCGGCGCCAGGTATCAGCTTGCATCATGACCGGCTAGGTCGTCCACTAGCTGGCTCAAGACGACTACGAAGCTTGCTTGTCGAACGAGAGCGGAGTTTAAGATGTTAGGTGCTGCCGCCACACGAGCTATCCAATGAAACGGCACGGCGTTTCAGAATCGGTATCTGCCGATATTAAAAATTGGATATGTGCCGAATCTAGGGTGCTGCCGAATTTTATTCTGGCTGCCATTTGCGATCTGCGGACAAGCATGGCAGGGATCTACCTTCAGCGCGCCGGCCGCCTCAGCCGCGCCCTTTACCGCAGCGTCGCGACCGCCCCGGCTCGCCCCACGGCGCTCGTGGACCCCGAGTGGGTGCTCGACAACGCAAGCGACGTCCGCGTCGTCGACTGCGGGTCGCCCGATGGCTTTCGTCGCGGCCACGTGCCGGGTGCCAAGCTCTTCCCGATGCCAACCAAGGTTTGCAACACTGCTTACAATCGCCTTCGATCGCCGCTCTGTAGGACACGCAAGACCCGTTTGGGATGCTGCCGGAGCCGTACTTTCGCGCGTGCCTCCAGCACCTCGACGTCGGGAGCGACACGACGCTCGTCTTTTACGACGACCAGTTTAGTCTGGTACGCACTTTTACCAGATCGTAGTACCAGATGCGAGCGCTGAAGCTAGAATGCGACGCGGGCGTGGTGGGTCGCGCGTGTCTATGGCGTGCCCCGCGACCAGATCAAGGTAACTGGATGCTGCCAATGTGCTGCGATCCACCGACTCACCACAAATGCCAGGTGCTCGACGGAGGCTGGCAGCGCTGGGTCCAAAACGACTTTGAGATTGCCGTCGAGGACAAGGCAACCGCGCCGCCATCTTCGCCGAATCTGCCCGAGCTATCGTACGTCATCTCCATCGTCGTGGCCCTTCTCAGCAGACGACAATGCGATGTAGGCCGCTGCCGGAGCGCTGTCTCAACCTCGCGGCCATCAATGCGATTGTCGCCGACGCGTCGTCGCCGGTTCAGATCGTCGACACGCGCTCGGACGGTGAGTTCACTGGCGCGACGCCCAACGGCAACCAGCGTCCGGGCCGTGTTCCTCGTGCGTTGCACTGGGAGTGGAACAAAACCATCGACCCGAGCACGGGGCGCTTCAAGAGCGTCGCTGAGATTCAGGCGGTCGCCGACGCCTTGGGCCTGGAGGCCGACCGCCCGGTGGTCACCTACTGCCAGCGCGCGATCCGCGCGGCGCACATGGCGTTCGTTCTCGAAGAGATCCTTGGCTTCAAGGACGTGCGTGTCTACGAAGGCTCGATGCTCGAGTACCTCAACGACCCGCTCACCCACGTGACCAAGTAGCTGCGCCCACTACGATCTTAGTGCTGCAGCATACTGCACGTGTTGGTGTTGATAATGCATACCTTGCGCTCGGCGCTTGATATTGTCGTCCATGCCAAGGAGCGACCGTGTGCCGTATACTTGCCTTCCTACCCGACACTGGCACTTGTAAGCGACAGTGCAACTTCAACTCTTCAGAGCACCCGTATCCGGATAGAATATCCGGCGTCAATCCGTAGCACAACGCGTTCCCCTTTGACGACAGCAGCAGCAGCATGGAGCCAGGTCGAGAGGCGCGTCTCCATGCTCCGTCGGCTCATCCTGCGTGTAGATGGATGCTTCCTCACCGGCAGCTCCCGGCGGCTCAACTGGAGCCGGCCCACCGCGCTCGCGCGCTCGACCTCGACCGCGTCGGCGTCGTCGCTCAAGACGCTGCGGCGGTACCTTTTGAAGCTGACGCCGATCGAGGGCAAGGACCTCTTGCCGCACGTCAAGAACGCCTACTGCACGCTCGTGCTCCTCGATAAGGACATGCGCGAGATCAAGGGCGAGAAGCGCCGGACGCCCGTGAGCAAGTCACCGTCGAACCACCCGATGTGGAGTCCGCTCAAGAGCGCGGTCCTCCGCTCGATGGAGAGCACAGTCGAGAGCCACCAGCCGGTCGGGATTGGCGTCGCGGCCGCCGCCGAAGAGTACACGTTTGGCACGAACGTCAATTTACGCAAGGCCAAGTACGTGCTCGTGAAATGCAAGGAGAAGGGCCAGGTGCAGACCGAGGACCTCGGGCGGCTCCTCCTCGCGCTCGATGACCTCGACACGGCCGGCATCGAGCGCCACGCGTGGTACGACCTGCAGCTGCACGCAGGCATGAAGCGCGTCCAGGGCCGTATCCGCCTCGCCTGCCGCATCGTGCGCGAGCCGTCGCGCAAGCAGCTCTGGCTCGCGGCCGAGCACATGCGCCAAGAAATCGTCGTCAAGGACCACTACCTCTATCTGAAGCTGCACCCGCACTCGTTCAGCGGCAAGGCGGCGGTCGAGTGGCTGCTCTGCCACGGCCTCAACCGCCCAATGCACGGCGGCATCACGTGCAGCACGGAAGAAGAGGCGATCCTCGTCGGCATGTGCTTTCTGCGCGCCGGCATCATCCAGCCCGTCTCGGGTGCGGCGACGTTCCACAACAGCACGTGGAAGTACTACCGGTTCGGTGTCCACCACCTCGATCCGCTTGTGCAGCAAGACAAGCAACACGAATGCGACCTCTTCATTTCCGACCAGCCGGTACCGAGTCTATATCTCTCTCGTGCTGGTATCATTGTCATCGGCGTAGGTGGCCGAGGTCGAGTACGAAGATGAAGAGCTCGCGGCCCTGCCGCTGCCAACGCCGCCGCCGACCTCGCGTCCCTTCCACGTCGATGACACCGAGTCGTATGAGGTCAAGCCGCCGCCAAAGGAGAAAAGTCGCTTTCGATCGCCGACTTTGAGCTCATCCGGCTCCTCGGCACGGGCACCTTTGGCCGCGTGGTCTCGGCCAAGCACAAGCGGGACGGCCGTCTCTATGCGATCAAGATTGTCCACAAGTTTGGCATGGACGACAACATGAAGCGCAACCTCAAGATCGAGCGCGACGTGCTCCGGGAAGTCCGGCATCCCTTTGTCGCGTCGCTCCACTTTGCCTTTCAAAACGAAGACAAGTTGTACATGGGCATGGAGTACCTCAACGGCGGCGACTTGCGCTACCACTTGCAGCTGAGTCTGCGCGACACCAACGGGCTCATGCCGCACCGCCGCGTGCAGCTGTACGCGGCCGAGCTCGTCGCCGCGCTCGCCCATCTGCACTCGATCAACATCATTTACCGCGATCTCAAGCCGGAAAACATCTTGGTGGCGTCCGACGGCCACCTCAAGCTCGTCGACTTTGGCCTCTCCAAGGTCCTCTCCACGTCGGCCGCCGACGGACGCAAGAGCAAGACGCTCGCGGGGTCGCCCGCGTACATTGCGCCCGAAGTGCTCGCGGCCAGCACGCTCAAGGACGTGTCGTACTCGAGCGCGTGCGACTGGTGGAGTCTCGGCATCGTCTTGTACGAGCTCTACGTCGGCAACACGCCGTTCGAGGACGAGAACCAAGCGATCATGTTCCGCAACATTGCAGAGGGCGCCTTGTACGTGCCCGACGAGCTCGGCGCACCGACGGTGTCGCTCCTCGAAGGCCTCATCTGCCGCGACGTGAGCACGCGGCTCGGCGCGACCGAGAGCATCCCGTTCAGTATCATGCGCCACGCGTACTTCGAGGGCATCGACTGGGACAAGCTCCAGGCGAAGGCGTATGCGCCGCAGTGGACTCCGGACCGCGACGAAGTGTACGTCGACGACGAGTTCTCCACCGAGGTGCCGGTCGACACGCCCGAGTGGCGCATGCTGGACGAGGTCGACCGCGAAGCCGAGCGCGTCGCCGACTTTACGTACCGCCCGACCGAAATCATGTTTGGACCCTAGCCCTACTATACCAATGTCATTTGTGTCTTCGTCGTCCTCGGCTCTCTTTCTTTGGTTTGATGGGCCGTGTTGGCGCCAAGAAGACAATATGGGTGCCAAGAAGACAATATGGGTATCAAGAAGACAGTATTGGTGCCAAGATGAGGACTCGATTGGTGTGCACCCGTGTCCTTCTTCTGGTAGCAAGCAGTAGTCGTCTCATTCGTAAGTCGCTTCTTCCGTTTCGACGGCTTGTGACAAGGGTATATAATAAATATACCCTTGCTTGTGATAAACAACTCGCTCGCGATGACCGTCGTCGTCGAGCGAGATGTACAAGTTGTCGTCAAGACGCGAAAGTATGCTTGCGCGAGGGCAGGAGATCCCTGTTCGACACACTCAAAGAGACGGTGTCTCCTGCATGCACGATGCACGTGATGTGTTCTGCGCTCCGTCGCCGTCTCAGGCGACGCCATTCTGGTTGCACGCTTCACCTGCGACGACGACAACAACTGCCGTCCGTTCGTCTCCAAGTGAGCGGATCATCAAGACACAATGCGCCACCGCGTGTTCTTTACAAGATGTCTGCAGATATCTAGCTCTGGCGCGGCGGCACGTAGCTGCCATTGTTGGCTTGCTGCGCCGCGGCCTGCTGGACGATCTACTCTCGCCACGTCAGACGCAGTGGGTAGAACACAAGCAGTACCTGCGTCGCGACCTCGGGCGACACGTGTGCGAACGCGTACGTGCCTGCTTGCGCTGCCAAGTGCGCGTTCTTGGCAAAGACTTGAGCCGCTTCCTACACGCTTCTTGTCGCAGGTGCAGGTCGATCGAAGAACGTACTTGCTCGCCGGCCGTGTACCCGACGGTCGGGTCCATGTCGGCGCGAAGGCTGCCGCTGCGAAAGGCCGGGTGCATGGTAATGACGATGAGGTTGAGCACCGCGTTGAGGCACATGAGAACGCCCGCGATCTTGGCCATGGCGTCGGCCATGCCAAAGTCCATAAACCCGACGCTACAACGCCTCATGAGATCGTGGCGACTAGAAGCTCTGGCGCGTACAAGAAGATGAAGGCCGTGCGCCCGCGGTACGTAAAGAGAAAGCCAAACTGGCGGCGAATCGACGGCTCCATGGACGAGAACCGGCACTCGAACGCCAAGAGCAGCAGCGCAAAGATGCTACCAGAGGCGCATGCAGGTATGTACTTCGTGGCAGGACTAACGTACATGACGTAGACGGCGATGAGGAAGCTCGTAATGTTGAGCATCGCCAAGTCAAAGAGGCCAAAGAACCCGGCGAGCGCCTGGAAGAGCGCCAGCATGACGTTGAGGTAGCGCATGTACTAGCTGCAGCATGAGCGCTCGTCGGCCATCGCCGTCATCTTCGTACCCGCAACAGCGTGTGCGCGTCCCAGCTCATGAGGCTACGCGCGCATGAGCCTCGCCGCATGCCATGGCATGCTGCTACCTGCGCCAGAAGCCGACGGGCGTCGCACAGACCGACGGCTTGCGGTCCGCATCCATGGCGTCGTAGAGCGGCGCCTTGAGGTCCGCCTGGTCCATCGTCGCAAAAAGATATTTGGAAGCTGGAGCGAGAAACCTCTCATACTGCATATCTTCGACCGAATACATTATATTTAAAAGGTTCTCAAACCCCACCACCGCCGCCGAGCCGCTCGGTGCGCCCAATCGAGTTGGAAAATGAAATCGCTCCAGCTTGGCAGAGTGATAGAGGCCACTTTGGGGGTCATGGAATGCTACTTTTCGTGGGCATGCGAGGCTTACAACGGACATTATGCGTTGTCCAAGATGTAATGTGGCATATGCCACGTATAAAACAGCAAGGTGCCACATTTAGCGACAGCGACTCCGGAATCTTGATTCCTGCAGTGGTGTTTTCAGACTCCATGCGAAGCAAAATCATAATGGCTTCTACCGACAGGTAGTTTGTTTCTCATCTTCTACACTCGGAATACAAGAAACGAGGTCGAGTTGAGGGAGTACAAAGGGTTGCTCGATGGTTTTTACACTCGATTGCTTTTCCACGCTGGAGTCGCCAAGACTTCATTTGCCATCCGACCGGCCACGACCATCACCGCTTTCTACAGCGAGGACCGACTTGCCCAGGACGCCCACGCACCACCAACAGCGACGACTGTACCACCAAGAAACAAGTGTAGCTCGACGCCTCGACCGCCGCACAGGCCACTCCCCAGGTGGTTCTGGACGAACCCGTCCAGTGTTGGAACACCACCAGCGATGAGCACAGAGACTGCAATGGATGAAATCATACGTGCACTCGGTGGGCTTTGCTGCGAGCGCGACGGCGGTCGAGGTCGTAACGATAGCCGCGGTTAAGAAAAGGACCGACGCGCAGCCTTGAGCTGCCTTTCTGAGTGTCCACACTGCAATAATATCGCCAGTAATATAACCATGAGTTTCTTGTAGCAAGCGAGGACTAGGAGTGGTGGTCGAATGAAGACGCCAAGTCTATGCCAACGTGAGCTCTGTCACCCGTGGGGGGCGGCTCCTGGACGTGGCCGTGCGCTGCGCTTGGTGGCATTGTCCAGCCGCAGTGAGGACATGCCACTTGGACGGGCTCGAGGTCTCGCTTGGCGCGTAGGATGTTGATCGCTTCGTCACGGAGCTTGGCCGAAAGCTCGACGAGCGTCCGGGACGGCGCGTGGGCTGCCCGCGCCGCCGCCTTGCGCTCAAGAAGCGTCTGCCTCTGCGCTTCATGGAAGCGCAGTCGCTCCTTCTTGGCCACGTTGGCGCGTACGCTGTGCTCCTACGCGATGTACAGGTTGTCATAATACACCTCGCTGCTCGTTAGGTACAGCGCTCGACTCGCGGAGCTGGCCCGCATTGCTGATGCGGTATGGCGACCGGCAGTCGCGGCAATAGCCGTAGCTATCGAGGATCGCGTGCCA